TGCAAGTTCTATCTTATATTATTATTTATTATTATTATTTTATATTATTTTTAATTAAAATATTTATTTATTAATAATAAAATAAAAAAATACAACTATTATAATATTAATTTATTTAAGATTATATAATTTTGAAATTTTAGTTATAGGGTAATAAATTTATACACTGAAAATTTTTGGTTCACCTTCAAAAATAATTATCCATTTATATTAATAAATTTTGATAAACATAGTTTTTCATTAACTGATAAATGAAGAACTCTTTCCACTGATCTTTTTGCCAATCCAAAAAACAGACATTTTCAAAAGATTTTTTGTTTTTATGATAATAAAGTCTATACACTTTCCTTAAAAATAATATTGATTGTAATCAGCCGAGCGAGCAGAAGCCACCACTTGTTTTATTTTTCTTTTTTAAACACGTTTCTTGTTTATTTTTGTGACTAAATACAAGAAATCCACTTAAAAGATCTATAGTAAGAACACCTTTATAGGAAAAAAATTGACAAAAAAAAATACTCTCCAAAGACTTCCAAAAGATTCAAGAATCTAAAGAAACAAAAATAAAGAAGTCTCTAGTCTTTTCATCATTTTCTTGGCTTCACACTTTTTTTTTCTCAAGTATGTTTTTTTTTTCTGATTTTTCTGAGAAATTTTGCCTACTTCAATTTGACCTTGAATTTTTTGATCACACTGGATTTCCTGAAAGATGATTGGTCAAGGTCACAAATTGGTTGATCATGTCAGTCATAGAAAAAGTAAATAAGACATGTACTCCTTACGTATTCCCAGTTGTGCAATATTAAACTAATGATGTGATTGGTTCTTGAAAGAGTTGAATAGTTTCAAGTTAAAGTTGTGAGAAGAAGAGAAGTAACACCTTTTTTGTTTTCATCTTTTTATTTTCTTTTTATTTTTTTCTCCATTTTTTCTTGTGGACAGAAAGTAATAACAAGATCTAGGTCCTATCCCAATCTGGTAACAAGTTGAAGTATCAATATCTATCCCGAAAATGGTTGAAGAAAGGGATCTTGAAACTATTTACTGGTTAAGTGAAGCTATAATTCCAGAAGACATGGTTTGGAAGAAAAATCAACAATAGAAAATCAATATCTTTTCTGATTAAAAGTCTTCAAGCATAAAGTTTCAAAAAATACTCTCCTAGAAGTGTCCTTAAATGTTCTTGAATATTGATTACTTCATTGGAAATTAAACAGTCTGACTGGCTACAGGTAGTAAAAAGTGGAAAATCATGAAGGGCTTGGATTTTAAGTTTACTGAGATAACCTTTTCAATAATAATTAGAATAAATAATAGCTTTTTTTCTTTTATCTTTGTCAAAAAAATTCCTTTTTTTTATTCATTTTTTCCCTTGCGTAGTTTCTACAAGAGGAGGGTGACATAATTTGAATTTATGGTCATAACTGTGAAGGTGATCTGCAGGTGCTGATCCTATCAGAAGTTCAGGATCTTAATCCCATCCTTTAAGGAAACAATATATTATCCCCATAAATCACATCTAGAGACTTTAGCTAAAGACAAGTAAGTTGGGTTGAGGAAATTTGTACTTTGCATGTATTCTCGTGTGTGTAATGGTTCTCTATGATTTAATAAATAAATGACACCAATTTGATTGCAGGATTAAATATATATATATATATATATATATATATAGTTTTTCATTAACTTTTTTACATTTAATAAGATAAATTTCTGGTGGATAACCACAAGTATTGTTGTCACCTAAATTGGACAAATGGTCAAACCTCCAAAAAAACTTTTTAATTTTTTTAAAAACAAATGATAAAAATAATCCTAAAAATTTGAACATATATAATATACAATGGTTTATTTATTTGACATTAATAAAAATCAAGATTAATAATTAAATTATTTATTTATTAGTTTGACCAGAGTTTGGGATTTGGACCTGGACAAACTATTTTATTATAGTTCGGGCAACTATAACCACAGGTTACCGAGCTAATTTCAATATAAATTTGGTGATAAGTTGAAATTAACAAAATATAAATATTTATGCCGAACCCTGAAGAAAATCTTTATTTGGTTCTATCTGTATAATTTCAATGAAATAGATCTGGTACAGACTAACCGTTTTTGCTATTTTTAATTGAAACTGCACACCCTTAACGCGTTTGTATAAGAAGATGGCGTTGCACCAGTGTAAACATTCTTTTTGTGTCCAGAATTACGTAATTTCGAGATTTCATCTGTGGAAAGTATAAATACAAAGGAAAAAAACATGAGGTAGAACTTCCATATTAAAAAAGTTTACAATTCAACGTTAAATAATGGCTAAATCCAAGGCCCTGTTACTTAAAGCGATTCATGGCCTAATTATTCTTGGAGTAATAATAGTTTTCAGTTTTGACTTGTACAAGAATATTAAAGGTTTAAATATAATAACACAATCACTTGAGGTTGTCAAAAAAGCTTCTTTAGTTCCTCCGGCGGTAACATTATGTCTCGCACGTGATGTCACTTACACATTTAAAATAGCAATTTATGGGAATGTTGTCACCCAAGGAGAATATTTAGTGTCATATCCTTCCACAGCACCGGAATTGGCAAATTTAGCTGGAGTTGTGACGAAATGTTGGGTACGCATTAGAATTCACGCGTCTGCAAGAGAGTATATGAACTAACAGTTTATATAATAATTAGATCCTTGCTGCGCCGAACAAACAAGCGGTAATAACGGATCCACCACCAGTGCCCAATATACCTGACATGGTTTTAAATTATACCAGATTTTTTGATGGGACAAATATCACCTCACCTCTGTTTATAAACATTTTTGATCCATTGCAAGAAGATACAAATTTCAAGTTTAGTCGATTTGTAAGATTGGATCCAGATGTTAACAGAGCGATTTCTTTCTCAAGGACTGAGCATTATGGTCTTGACCAAAAAATCACCAGTAATGTTGCTACCACCATGGTGGATGAATTTAGGGATTCATCACAAACAACAGCGAGTAATGCCACCAGCACTTTCACCATTCGTCCAGGTATGTTATTCATTATTTTCGTGTCACTTGTCTAGTGCGTCCTACGTGCATAACAGTTCGTGTTTTCTTTTCTTTCTTCTTGTCATTAGAATCATTTAATGTATTCCGAACGACTGAAGTACAGAGTACTACGTGGTGGACAATTATAATTCACAGTGTTACGTTTATTGGAATATTATTTGGAAGTGTTTATGTTCCTTTAGTTGGTCGCGGTAAATACAGACCCTGGGGATTTTTACATATGGCATTAGGTTATTATCCCATTGAGCACATTTCACCGAGTGATGAAGAAAAACAACACATGTCGACGAATGAGATGGATCCAAGTTTATTCGAGAGGTTAAAAGTTTATTTGGAAAAAATTGATATCGCAAAATATGAAAATCACCCTTAAAATTATCACCAATATAGGGACACTTAATCACCGATAATCACGTGATAATAATTAATTGAATATTGGTAATTGGTATAATTAGTATCTTTATGATAAAAATTGATTACTTTATTAGATTAAAAACTAATGTTTACGGAAGTATTATCATATTATAAACTTCTTGAAGGGGATTATAGCCAGATTTTTTTTTTTTTTCTATATTTTGACACGTGATTTTACTCTGTCCATAGAATTTACGAAACGAGTGAAGTCGTGAATGTTACACTAACCAAAATGTTTGACAAAGACTTGAGTTCAGAAACACAAAATTCCAATGATGTCAATTGATTTTTCAAGATTTCCTTATAAATATTTTTTCAACAGTATTCCCGTGAAAACCTGTCAGTTGATTGGTTTGTAATTTCTTAAGACCCAGAAAAGAAAAATATTCAAAGTTTTTCATCTTGACTGGCTTTCTATCGTCTTTTCCTAACCGCAAAAGTTACATCTTTTAATTTTTCTGTTGATAACTGTCATGACAAACTCGGGAAATGGATGGGGCGGAATAAATGGAAATTCCCGTATTTCCTCTGGTTCTTTAAAACAACAAGAATCCATCAACGCTGACAATGTGATGGATATTTTTAATGACATCGCTCTGACAGCTGGTTCTGATGCGATCCTAGCTACCGACTGGCAGCCCACGTCGCGTAGGGATCAGGGAAGAGACACACGCAAAACATGGGGAAATGTTCGCGTTCAAAATGAGATCGAAAATGACAATTTTTCTGCCGACGGAAAGGTCAAAGGTTCTAATCGTTCTCAGAGGGAAAGTACCACCGGATTTTATGAAGACGCTAATAGTAGGGGAAATATTCGGAGGAATGATAGTTCTCGAGATAGCCTTTGGGAAAATAACATTAAGAAACAAAATGACAACGATGGGCGCATTTATACAGCGAATAATTCTCGGAACCAGGATGCTCCCAATGACCATCATATAGGTAATGGGGGTTACCGTAATACTAATACGAATGCAAATGCTAGTAGGTTAGGTAGCACAGATAATTATACGAACAATAATGATATTTCAGATAAATATGACATTAATCCATCAAATGAGAGCAACGTGATATATAGGTCGGATGACGAACATCCAACACATTTGACATATGCATCTGTTGCGTCCCAGAAGAACCCATCATCACAAGAGTTAGGTGATGAAATAGGCGATGTAGCTTTGAAAATAAGCGCATGGCACACTCTCGTGGATCCTAATTCCAAAGAACGGTTGGATGGTATTGGTACAGGTCAGTTGCATCGCAAGGGAAAGAATTATAAGCCCGTTGATGAGAAAACCGTTCTTGAGATACAACAAAGGGGAAAGAGTATCAAGAAAACAATGAGATCTCCGGATGAAGGTTTTATGGATAAAAGTCATTCTTCGCTCACAAAATCAAATTCTTTTTCAACTGGTGCACCTTTAAAGAGTTTGGACAGAGATAATCCTTCACCTAAACATGATGTTACCCCTCACAACCCTCTTCATTCGGAATCAACTACGCAGTGGAAGCCGCCACTTGCCCAACAACGGCAGTCATCCCCATCACCATTACCTCCATCATCGCCAAAATCGTTTTCGCGAGTGCAACCATCACAGCAAAATACGCCCGAGAAAGAACATTCTAACATTCAGTCCAAGCTGGATAATCCATCTTTTCGGGAGCTTCCTCAGAACAGCCCTCAAAAGCCACAGACCGCTACAAAATCTCAACAGCCTCAGTATTATCGTCATCAATCACCAGTTCGTTCACAGGAGTATCTACCTTTAATTCCGCCGGAATTTGATTCAACACCGTACCGAAAGCAGCCATCTCCATTTACTGCTCATTATCGCAAGGGAGATCGTAATGGTAACGATTATGAAGATCAAGAGGATTGTGATCAAAGTAGTGACGCAACGACCGAATATTATGAAGATAGCGATAATGAACTGGAATATGAATCTTCACTTCCCGTGGTAAAACGCGATCGCGGTGAACTAGTTCTCACCATCAATGTAGAACTTCAAGAGGGTGAAAACGCTCAAGCCATCTATGTTTACGTGGGTGACGATCCGTCAGATCTGGCACGTGAGTTTTGTGTTAAATGGAAAGTTACAAATGATGTGGTAGAACCGGCATTGGCGGCGTTAATCAAGAACGAGAAAGAAAAACGGTTAGGGTAGAAACAGGTCTCGGGCAAGTATATTGAATTTTGTGACTTTAACGATGCGATCATACATATAGTTAATTTTGCTTGTGTCCTTAATCTTGTTCAACAACGTAAAAATAAATGTTAAAATAGATCTATTACTTTGCTATATAAAAATTACTGTATAGAAATAATGTACACTATTTTTAAAAAATATTCTTTTACAACACGCCATTCACAAGGTTCTACTACTCTTTGGTAAAAATTAATCAATAACTTTACGTTTCTCAATAAAATTCATCTCATCAATTTGATGATAGATACGTGTTATTACATTCAAACGTTTGGCAATCCATCGTGAAATATTGCAACAGACAAACGGTTGGTAAACAATGCAATATTAATAATTAAATCTCTATTTGCTATTTATTTTACTGATTGTTATTTTTAA